GAAGGGAAAGAACCGTTTCCGATGAACCCCCCTGGGTCTAGACACTGGTGATGGTGATAAGTGGTTAGGTCCGGTTGGAAGGGAGGAGATTAAGCTTGGCCCTGAGTTGGAAGCAGGAGGCGAAGGGGTGGAGGAGGGTTGCGCGTTGGCACCTGGAAGACAGCTGATAGGAAAGGAGAGAGCATATATAGAGGGATTAACAGGTGCGATAATTAGGCTTGTGAATGGAGGGAAGTGATAGGTTGGCTAAGGAGTGGCGCTCCCTGTCATCTAGTGAAGGGAGCGAGTATTGCCATGACGTGCAATACGGAGTGATAGATCTTCCTGTCTGAACTTGCGCTGAGCTTCATTTCCCAGATTCCTACAAAATAACTCAATTGTTTGCAGCGTGTTTTCACCTCCGCACCAGCTAGGCAGCCATCAATTGTGTCTAGAGTGCGCCATCTAGTGGGATCAACTGAAATGCCGGGTATTGCAGGAAAAAGGCAAAATGAATGCAGTCTTTACTACACTGAACAAAAATATAAATGCAACACTTTTGTTTTTGGCACCGTTTTTGGCACCGTAGAACCGGGCCGGCTGAAGGATAAACACACCAGGCTACTAATCTACCCGCACAATTTTTCTCTGGTGTCGGAATGTCTCGCGATGTTGGTAAATTCTTAAAAAACAAAACACCATTTCATTTCGGGTTAAAATGTGTTGTAACTTGTAACTGCGTTACTTACTGAGCATTGTAACGGGTAGTATATTTCCCAAATTTCATTATTAATGCGTTACATTACTTTATTACAGCAAAAAGTAATACATTACTCTAACTCCGTTACTTTTGTAACACGTTACACCTAGTGCTGCGTACCGGTACGCCGAACCGGTACTGGACTTGTAAAAAGTTTCGGTTCAAGTCCGGTTAAAACCGGAACGTCGGGAACCGGTACTTGGACTCGCAAAAAAACTAGCACTTACGTATATTCTGGTGTCTGTGGTTATTTAAACATTCCCTGATAAACGTTATTCAGCCTCAATAAACGAGTGCTAATCCCAGTGTGCTCAGTGTACAACATCACATGTCATTTCACCTTCGATTCACGGTTTGAAAACGTAGCATTTCGCCACATGCTAATGCTAACCAGAAGTGAATAATTTTCAGAATAAAAGTATTAAGTTAATAGTGTGAACTTCCGGGTTTTTTCAGAATAAAACTGATTTAAATTAAATAGTGTATTTAATTCAAAATTACGCCATATCAACATTGATTTTAATTTCTAACAGTATGTATGTACATCACTATGTATGTAGTATACACTGTATAATGTACACATGTAGAGTTGTAGAAAATACATGGTGTACAGACAGTACAGTACAGTCACTACAATGTAGTCTATACTGTATAGTAGGTGTGTAACAGTGTAATGCGTATAGTCTACTCTACACTCTACCTTTCAGCAACGTTTTAGGGATTTAGGCTCAGTCAGCTCAGGGACTGTTTGGTTACTTTAGTTTGGTAAATGAAATAAATGTTTGAACTTTGTAGTAGTTCACTGTAGTTGCTGTCATAAGTCATTTGTAGACTAAGTGGCAAAAAGTGTTTTTTTTACATTTGTATACTTTGTAGAGAAATTTAGACACAAGTTGGAAAGGAGCGCAATAAACCTGATGAGTTTGAATTTGAGTTGATTATTAGTTCATTTTCAATTGATAATTAGCTCACAATAAGTTCACTTTAGTTACTCACACAACTTGACACAAGCCATGGGTTCAGGTCCGGACTTATAAGTCCGGACCTGAACCTGAACCTCTGGACTTGAGTCCGGACCTGAACCTGAATGTGAGTCCAGGTAAGCAGCACTAGTTACACCCAACACTGGTGATCATGAGGTGCTCTAAATGAGCGGAACAGTCCGAAGAAATAATCCTCACATCTGTGCACCAGTTGTTATTAATTATGACGCCTCCCTTACTTTTTCCTGAGTTAGCAGTTCGGTCCTGGCGGAAAATAGTGAGTCCGTCAGGTACGATGGCGGAGTCCGGGATAGCGGGGTTTAGCCAAGTCTCGTGAGAATGAACACGTTACAGTTCTTAATGTCCCGTTGAAAAGCAATCCGACTTCTGAGTTCATCAAGCTTATTTTCAATCGATTGAACATTAGCTAGAAGAATACTCGGAAGAGGGGGTCGGTTTCCTCGTTTTCTCAGTCTGACCAGCAGCGGGACCCACGCTTGGTCTTCTTCTTGCGTCTCTCAGGTAGGACAGCAACAGGTAGCCATGGTGGATCTCCATTGTCTGTCGGTGGGCTATTGCCCACAAGGTTTCTGATGTGAATAAGTTCCTCTTGTATAGCAGAGTTGGTGCGGTCGGCTTGCACGTTGCGAACCATGTTAAAAGCAGACGGCAAAAAGTAAATAAACACTGAAAAAAGGCAAAGTTGGAGCGGAGACAAAAGACAATGCGGCCATCTTCACCGGCGCATTTTCATTTAAGCTGAACAGTCCCCATTTTATAGCAGACAACATGACCTGTAATACACACGTGTACCTTAAATATTAACAGATACATAGATAGATAGATAAAGTATTATCCCAACTTGGAAATTATAATATATCCTATCTATAATATATCCTGTGAGGATTACATTGCATTTTTAGCTAAAACAAGTCTATTTGTGTTATTCTTCTGCTAATGTATATAGCCCTGATTCATTTTGTAACAAAAAGAACAAAAGCATTTGTAAGGCGATCAAGAATATATATGCAGTGAGACGACATGAATAGATGTCTGACAGAGTAAAAGAAGAACTCATGATGCTCCCTGAGAAAATTCTCTGTTAAAGCCAAAGGATATATTATAGTTCAGGCAGCACCTAACCTGCATTTTCACGACAAATTCATCAGAAACATGAAATAAACCAAACATGCAGACATCAGAAACTCTCTAACAGCTAAGTTGGTCCACAGGGCAAAGTGTAGCTTACATGTGTTTTGGTTTATCTTCTCGAGAGCATGATTCAGCCTCACAAACGTGTGTGAGTGTTTACAATCCTCAGTACTCTGGAGCAAAGTGAAGAACAGTCGATGGACAGAGAAGCAGATAAACCTCTGCAAGACTTCATATACATGTTTGCACTCGTACTGTTAACATGATCATAAAGCACTTTGATGTGGTTTACTGACTGTTAATTACTTATTACTATATTACTCTGAACTTCAGTCAACCTTTACGCATGATAACCAGTGGTGGAAAATAACTAAGTACATTTACTCAAGTATTGTGCTAAATTACTTTTTTTTACATATTTGTACTTTACTTGAGAATTTCCATTTAATACTACTTTATACCACTACATTTCAAAGGGGAATATTGTACTTTTTACTCTACATTTATTTTAACACTCACAGTTACTAGTTACATATAAAAACACATGACATGCTGATATGGTATAATGCAGTAGTACTTATATATAATAACCATAATCATATAACAGTGTGAAAAGAGAACTTTTACTTTTGATACTTGATGTACATTTAGCTGATAATACTTCCATACTTGTATACTTATTCTGAAATCGGTCATTGTGCAGAAGGAATACTTCACTTTTTACTTGAGGTATATTAATAACGCGTTAACGCAAAAAAAAATTAACGCCACTAATTATTTTAACGCGATTAACGCATGTGTATTTTTTTTCCTCGGCCGCCCCGTAGTTTCAGAGCGCATCGAGTTTAAAATACCATCGACAAGCTGATGCTGACAGCCCCGCTCCTGTCGCCCGCTTGTGGCAGACCACACTTCTACGCTCACCGGCAGGCACCGATTGGCTATTGTGAGGACCGGGAGGGTGTGTGTATGTGTGACCCGAGCGAGCGAGAGAGAGACCTTACGTGCATTGTTGTTGTTAGCATCTGGTGCTAGCTAGCTGCGCTAACAGATATAAGGAGCTGCTTAAATGAAAACAGAGGAGCGACATTTCGCCGACAACTGCGCCGAGCACTTGACTTTATGCAGGAAGCCAGACAGTGGGACATTGTACGAGAAGTCAGCACACTCAGCACGGATAGTGCACAACATGATTGCAGCGTCCAGGCAGCTCCCGTTCGAGCATATGCCTTGAGTTGCACATAGCTCCAACGATCCATCTCTCTCTCACTCACACACACACACACACACACACACACACACACACACACACACACACACACACACACACACACACACACACACACACACACACACACACACACACACACACACACACACACACACACACCATTTGTATTGTATTAGGTTCCAGGTTGAATTGAGGCGAATATTTGTAATGTTCAGAAGTTGTTGTGTTTAATATTCATGATAATATTTGTCATTGTTCAAATGATAATAAACATTAGCATAAAGCATATTTGTCCACTCATATGTTGATAAGAGTATTACAAACTTGAAAAATATTCCTCTAAGGTACATTTAAAACAGATCAAAAATGTGCGATTAATTTGCGATTAACTATGGACAATCATGCGATTAATCGCTATTAAATATTTTAATCGACTGACAGCCCTAATTTTTACTTAAGTAAAAGTTAAGTTTCTTTACAGATGTGGATGAATGATGTGAGATATATCTACTCTTAAATCAGACTTTAGTTCCACCTGGAGTAAATCCACAAGCTACCCTGCAGTATACAAAGTCATTGAAACTAGCTGCACCTTTACCACTTTCATGATTATAATCATTATAAAACATATCATATATATTATTCTGAAATGGACCAGTCTGCACAATGACTACTTTTACATTTGGTACTTTAACTATATTTTGATGATTTTCTACTTTGTAACATTTTGAATGCAGGACTTTTACTGTAACAGAGCGTTCCTACACTCTGGTACTTCTACTTTTACTCAAGTACAAGATCTGAGTACTTCTCCCTCCTCTGAAAGGATCTGAGTACTTCTTCCAACTGTGATTATAACACATAACACACATGAGGTTTGCTGCTGTGTGTTCAGATCCGTATCTGGGCTCGCAGGGACGCGATGGAGCAGGGTCAGGGGAGCTACGCCCTGAACGTGACCAGACCGGTGCTGGACTTCTTCCAGTCCTACTTCAACATCTCCTACCCTCTGAGCAAGTCTGGTAAGCTGCTTTTAAAGTATAATCATGACTCAAAGGGGGGAAAGTGGGCACTTAAAACTGATGACATTCCCATAAGCCTCAGCTGTGCTGTATGTTCAATGTGTCAGCGATGGGGAAAATCAGGACCCACATGCAGGATGTGGAGAAGCGGGTTTCAAACAAAAAGCGAGCTTTATTTAACAAAAAAGCTGTTGACCATGAAGAAACAAGAATACATCCAAAAACTGGTAGCATCCAGGAAAAAACTGACAGGAACAAACAGAGGTGCAAGGATGACATGAAAGACGACGATCCGACAAGGAGCACAGGGGAAGACAAGATTAAATACACAGAAGGGTAATCACAGGACAAGACACATCTGGGCAGGGGAGGCAGAAACACAAGGGCAACAGGAGAACACAATCAGACAATCAGACACAGGAGGGCAAACACAGGAAGGAAGACCAGACACAGGAGGTGTTTCTCAATGTCGAGGAAGGCTGCTCCAGAGCCACTATTTCAGGGATGCTACGTCATCGAGTCCCGCCGAAGGACTGTTCTAATTAGGGATGCTCCGATCGATCGGTCACCGATCGAGATCGGCCGATACTCACTCTCTACCGATCGATCGGTGCTCTCTAAACATGCCGATCGCGAGAGCCGATCGCATGACGTAAAATACATGACACTTTTCTCTGTGTGCGGCAAAACAAGCTCGCCAAAATGGCTTCACCGGTCTGGCATTATTTTAAGGTGTCCGAAAAAGACAGTAAAATAGCGGTATGCAACGTGTGTGTGAAGCAGAAATCCTGCAGCTCCGCCCGCTGTGACGGACCGGTGAGCGGAGCAAAACACACAAGAGTTAGACCTAACACACTTAGCTATTTTATCTACCTCTGGAACAAGCTAAACTAGTTATTATAAATATATGTATTCTTCACTGTCGGGTCACTCATTACTGGATCAGTGAGCTGCATGAGATACTGACAGGCTGTCAGGAGAGAGAGAGAAGGGGAGAGAGGGGGGAGGGAGAGAGGAAAAGAGAGCGCTTCCGCTAATTTCTCCCGTGTTATTATCCAAAGTGAATGTAAACTTGAATAATGTACATCATTTGAATGTAATAATTAAGTTGATTGTTGTTTGTGGAAGCTCCAGTGAATGAGCCCCATTAACTGAGTTTTAAACATCACTTTAAATGGAAGATTTAAAGTGACGTTTAAATTTTCCATTTAGGCCCCGCCCACTCGATCGGATCGGCGATCGGTATCGGCCGATACTGATTCCGGCGATCGGCGATCAGCCCCGAAATTGGCGATCGGAGCATCCCTAGTTCTAATGACCAGGATGCTTGGAATTCTACCGAGGCCGGCGTCCTTCGTTATGGGACATTTCGAGGTTGCACATGTGTATCCTTCGCGCTCTTAAAATCCCCACAATCCACGGACCAATTTCCAAATCTTTGGCGGAAATCGCGCTCCATTTAAAGAGCCTGTGACACGAGTTTCCCCCATCATCCAAACCAATCAATTTGAGTAAATATTGTCCCCTTGAAAACCGTTACTGAACTGATTTTGGATATTTGTACTTTGATAACCATTAATCTGCCCTTCCATGTTGACCATTTCCTGGATCTTCTCGGGGATTCTTCAAGTCCCGCCAAATGATGTGTGACGTCATTGCGGGCACAGCGCTCCAGCTGCACCGTTCAGGATCCCAGCATCTGCATGTAAACGCACGATGGCGCACACAGCAGCAAGCTCAGACAGCGATGACAGTTTAATTTTGAACGTGTCTGAGAGCTCATATGAGGCTGAAGGATCGGTTTATGTTGTATCTGTTAGAAGTTTAGGAATTATGTGCGTCAATATGGGCGATCATACGGTCATGTAGCCAGTGGTGGAATGGGACTAAAAATCATCCCGGGACTCTCGACCGGCCCACTTCGGTACCGCTAGTAAGTTGTCAACGGGGGGAGTGGGGGATGTGCTAGTGACTTATCCGACCGGCCCACTTCGGTACCGGCCCATCGGGATTCGTCCCGATGGCCAGTCCGCCACTGCACCCAGCCCAGCCCACGTAAACTGTCAACGGGGGGAGCCTCGCTGCGGGGAAACGGTGGACCTAGTGTCCCGATCGAGTGGGAATAATAATAATAATAATCCGTGCATTGTATCCATTAATTTCCCCAACATTGTGGTGAAAAAACCACACGTTTAATCCACATTGGTGTACTACAACTACAAAAAGCATCGGTTTGTTTTCTCATCAGGAAATGCAGACCGGCTCAAACGAACGATTTTTAATCATCATCCTCACGATCATTTAATCTATCATATGTTCGCCGAATTGACATGAAAGCACTAATAAATGTAGTTTCATCCACTTGAGTTTACAACTACAAAAATAATCGATTTGTTTTTATATCACATCCGACGGGAGGAAATTCAGCAGCTCTCACTACCGATTTTTAATCCTAATGTAATCATCATCTTCACCACGATCATTTATGTTTATGTTCGCCGAATTGACATGAAAGCATTGACAAATATGAATATACTGTAGTCAACTTCATTAAAACGTTATTAACGTGCCTAAACTCAGTAATTCACCATTTCTACGCATGACAACACACTTTGTCCGTTTGGCTCTCCCGCCGCACAGTGAAGCGTTCCTGCATTGACGTCACATCCGGCTTCCCCCAAAACTTCAAAATTCCCCGCGATGTTCGAAATTATTGATATTTATCAGAACGGTATCGCACCTTCTTTTTTAAGCTGACGGTTCGAGATTACTATTAGCCCAATATTTCATTGCACAACAGTTGTTGGGAGGCTGTCACAGGCTCTTTAAGGCGGGGCCTCACATATGACTCACACCTGCACACCTGTTAGCCTGTTCCACCATTCTTCGTTTTTTCCGAGTCAGGTCCTTCAGAAGCGAGGCAAGAATCTTTCCTAGCCTTAGCTGCTAAACTAAGCTGTGAACATGATGCACCTTTCTTTCCCCACCAGTAGGCTATTTCTCCCCCTCAAAGTGATGTTGAAGGATTGTCGCCATCAACCTATTATCGCAATTTTTGCAACTCTTTTAGCTTAATAGAGCTAGATTGCAATATGCATTAGTTTAGTGGGAATGCTGTTAACAGCATTCCCACTATCTGTTCTTCCATGCACGAAATTCTTTATTGTTATTATTCCACCCGTTATTTTGCTGGTCTTCTTCTCCCACATTCCACATCGCAGAAACTCCGTTCAAACATCAAAACGTTCAGCTCGGTCGGGAATCGAGTGCTATTACTTTTCTCATTCATAACTTTCATAATTCCAGAGATACATCCCATAATTCATCACATTTTTAACCATTGAAGTCAATGGAGAAAATCTTCAGACTTGAACAATCTTTATGCAACTTCAACTGCTAACTGTTCATTCATACTTTCACTCAGAAACCTCATTCCAACTTTAAAATATTACACATCTTTCTGACATTAAAACAATTTTTAAATCTGATTCTTACTTTTAGAGATATTAAACATTGAGACCATTCAGACCATGTTATAGAGGTTTTCTTCAGATTTTAACTAACTAGAGTGCGTGATGTCACAGCTAGAGTGTAGGAAATCTTGAAATTTGCCTTCATATCATTTTTTAAAACTGCCGTAATTCCCAAACCCTACATTCCTGAGACATCATTTATCATGACAAACATAGGAAAACATTGCGTAGCTTGAAAAATGACAAATAATTAAACAAAAATGATTAAACAAAATGCCTATTTCCTCACGGCAAAAGGCCACATTATTGACCCGAAAGTACACAAAAAGCACACTTCAGATACTCAAGGTCCTTGACATGCTTCACGTTTTGAAATGTCACAGATATCTGTTACGTTTCTTCCACAAAACGTTCACATGTAAGAGGTTCATCTCATTCAGAACAATGGAAACCTGTGATCTCTACAGAGCTCGTTAGCTCAAATATAAACACCTGTGTCATGAAACACGATGATGTCATCGCTCCAACTGACATGCTCAGAGCAGCAGACTTCAGATAGAGGTTAACGGTCCTGCCCTCAACAGCTCTACTTCAATTATGGGGTGTCATCATATGCCGTTTCCTCGCCATAAAAGACGATGTCGCTATACATTAACTCCCTTGAAAATGTTCAAAATGTACTCAAACTTCACATTTGTGCTAACAGTCCAGCCGTGAACACATCTACGGGACCGTTTTGAGATTTCTTCAAATGCCGTTGCCATGGCAACACAATGCTCGCCATGAAACACGGTTTTCTCTTAACTTCAGTGAAAATGCCCCAAACGGCCCAAAACTTCACAGGTTTGGTAACGATGCAGCCATCAACGCATCTAAGCATATTATGGGGTGTCATCAAATGCCGTTGCCATGGCGACAGACCACTCGCCATGAAACACGATGTCGCTTTACATGAACTCCTATGAAAATGTTCACAAAGTGCTCAAACTTCACATGTGTGCTAACAGTCCAGCCGTGACGACATCTACGTGAGAGTTTTGAGATTTCTTTGAATGCCATTGCCATGGTAACACAAGGCTCGCCACTGGCTTCCGGTAACTGCTAGAATCCACTTCAAGACAATGGTACTTGCGCACCATGCTGCGAATGGATCTGGCCCTTCCTACATCCAGGATATGGTTAAACTGTACACCCCAGCACGTGCACTCCGCTCTGCATCAGCCAAACAACTCGCTGCACCCTCACTGCGAGGGGGACCCAAGTTCCCATCAGCAAAAACACGTGGATTTGCTGTCCTGGCTCCAAGATGGTGGAATGAGCTCCCGATTGAAATCAGGAAAACAGATAGCTTACACACCTTCCGACGCAGACTGAAAACTCATCTCTTTCGACTCCACTTCGAGCGATAGAACTATTAACAAAGCACTTATATACTAATAAAGGACTGGCTTACCTAAAGCCAGTTGAGTAGCACTTGAAATGTTTTGGCTCTATGAAACCTGATGTACTTATATGACTCTGTTTTCTTCAAGTTTGTATTTTGTTGGTCGAACGCACTTATTGTAAGTCGCTTTGGATAAAAGCGTCAGCTAAATGCAATGTAATGTAATGAAACACGGTTTTCTCATAACTTCAGTGAAAATGCTCCAAACGGCCCAAAACTTCACAGGTTTGGTAACGATGCAGCCATCAACACATCTAAGCGTATTATGGGGTGTCATCAAATACAGTTGCCATGGCGACAGATAATTCGCCATCAAGTTAGTTCAGAAGTTTGCAGTTCAAATATTCTGCTGCTTTTTCATGCATTTAGACTTTTATTTTCTTGTTCTTATTTCATAGTCAAGCCCCCAGTGTTCATGTATCATTTCAATCTAAATTATTCACTTTCTTCTTACACATTACATTTCAGCATATCAATTCAGCGTTAGCTTTTCAGCATAAAGCATTCCCACTAGCAATTTGTTCAGGAATTGCATTCTCTAGTTTGTGTTTGCTTTGCTGTTTTTCTCTAAATGTTGTTTAATTATGCACTTAATTTGGATGGGAACCTAATGTGTGATCAATCTGCTGAGTAGGCTAATTATTTTTCAAAAGCTCGCAAATGTAATGAAAGTGAAACTTAATCTGTTTTTTTTTACAGTGGATTACAGAAGTAGTTACAAAAAACTTACAAATTAGAAAAGAAGAAAAAGAAGAAGACAAATAAATAAAGGAAAATAAAAAAGACAATAAGAGGGGAGAATGAAGTTTATTTTGCTATTGTATTATGTTAAATTGTTCCATTGTTGAGGAGTGTCTAGGTAAGGTGGTATACAGAGGAACCAGCCCTGGATAAACTGCAGGCTAATTCTTCAATCTAGAACAGGTTAATCCCATGAAGCAAGCAATATGTTTCCGTTTTTTTGTGGATTTAAATGTTGTTGATCAATCAATCCAACATACCATGCGTTGATTTTTAAATTCTTTCCAGAGACCTCAGCTGCCGTCCCAGTACAACAGATTTGTTGCATGTTGTTTCTCTGTTTTATTGTAATAAGTTATAGTTGTGATGCAGCGACGTGTGATCAGTCCCTTTAACCTGCTGTAAACCTGCTCTCTGCAGATCAAATCGCCCTGCCAGACTTCTTCTTTGGTGCGATGGAGAACTGGGGTTTAGTAACTTACAGAGAAAGCAACCTCCTCTATGACCCTGTGACCTCCTCCAACAGAAACAAAGAGACGACTGCCACCATCATTGCTCATGAACTAGCACACATGGTGAATACGTTTTACAATGTCATTTTAAATGGTATCTTTAGATTGATGATGATCCAAATCAGGTGTGTGATACTCCTTTTAGTTCAGAGGCCGCATACAGCCAAATGTGATCTCATGTGGGCCGGACCAGTTATATCTTAGCATAATAAATAACGAAAACTCCAAATGATCCCCTTTGTTGAGTGCAAAAATGTACATTGTGACATTTTTCATATTTAATAAACTACCTTATAAGAAAACATTACGAACAAGCGAACATTTCTTAACCTGTTAAGCCCCAAAGCCCCCCTCGGCGGGGGCTTTTGTTTTTTCCGACACTGTGTCTCAGGGCATCTTAATATTTAAGAACCTATTAATGTGTTATACCAGATAAACGGGAAGAATCTCAGCTAACTGACGATACAAACCATTTTTACCAAAACAAAACACAAGTCTCATAAGAAGTATCTAAATGACTCCTGAGCGAAAAATGCTAATGCACTTTGGCACAGAACTCAAGATAAAAGTACCCTTATTACTCATCGTAGCTGCACTTACAAGATATCCGATTAAAGCTGAGGTTCCACAGATTATTTAGATATATATATCATCACTGAGTGATCCGAACTCGCGACAGGGGAAGCAAACACAGACATCACAACACGTACCTTTACGTAGCTTTTACGGGACATCCTCTCACCGTAGCTGTCAATCTGATCAAAAGACGTGTTCAATGGCATTAAAACGAGAAAAAACGCGGCTGAATCGGTTAATCCATAGGTTGATAATGTTTCTGTGGAATAATTTTTTTTAATTTATAATCCATAATTCCATTTTTATGTAAAAATTGGAGAGTAAAAGTTAGCTGCTAATGGTAGTCACCAGAGTTATCGCAGATTCCAGTTTTGGCTATGCGTCAGTCTCACACACACACATTACCAAATAAGGAGTATGTGGGAGTTCCCCTCGATTCCATTGGCTCTGACGGTTAGAAAGAGATGTCAATCAGCAAAATCGAGCAAGGGGGGCCAGAGATAGGTCAAATCCACCAAATGACCCCAGAAGTGTTTTTTTTGTTGCTAAATCTCTCTAAAAAGGTCAAATTTCACTTGTTTTGCATCAATCTCGATACAGGGTACTTATTATACGTTGTAGTTTGGATTCCTAAAGCTTTTAGTCTACCATCCCATCATTCAAGGGTGATTTTCACTATAAGTAATTTTGTTTTTTTGGACGGACACAATCATTTACATTTTTTTACTGTGTTTAATCTGAATTTTCTTTAAAATAAAAACATCTATATTGATTTTGACACTTCTACATCCAACTCACAGGTATAACCTTGCTTTGAGAAAAAAGATTATTAATTTAACCCTTTTAGAAGTGAAGATATGGTCATTTGTTCTGGTAATGTCATTTTCGAGCCTGAGACCTGAAAAACAGGCTCAGGGCTCAACAAACAATATTATGCCTCTGCATTTAGTCATCGGTATATGGAACTGAACAATATAGTTTTTTACTTTATGATCAAAACAACTTTTTTACATCCATTTCCACAACTGTGTAGTGATCCTGAACACCTGAACCGTCACGGCACCATACAAACTAATATGGGAACTATTAAGGAGGAACGTTAACTTATCCCCCTGCCTTGTAAATGACAACTATTTGTACATACAAAATACATAAAAGTTGTGAAAATGCAATTAATGTCTTTAGACTTTGCAAGGTCATCCCGTGGGCCGGATTGGACCCTCTGGCGGGCCGGTTTTGTCCCGCGGGCCATATGTTTGACACCCCTGATGTAAATAAATGTAATGTGTGTGCAGTGGTTTGGTAACCTGGTGACTCTGCGCTGGTGGAACGAGGTGTGGCTGAACGAGGGCTTTGCTTCCTACGTGTCGTACCTGGGAGCGGACCATGCTGAGCCGGCATGGAACGTGGTGAGAACACAAAGCTTATCTTACTCCTTCTGCCGTAATAACAACAAATATATACTTATCTGCTGTGGTGGAAGATAACTAAGTACATTTACTCAAGTACTGTGCTTAAGTACACATTTCAGATACTTGTACTTTACATGAGTAACTACTTACTGTGCCACTTCATACTTCAACTCTGCTACAATTCAAATACATACTACATTTACTTTATAGAACCAGGTTTGTAAACACAAACTTATGAAGAACTTTTAAAATACGTTGTTTGGATATAAATTAAACTATCCACATTATAATTAAGTAGAGCTAAAACAACTAGAGACGGCAAATTCATTGGCTGATGTTAAAGTAATTTTTTGGGGGAAAAAACATTTCATAGTAAAAGTAGAAACAAAATATATTTGCTGTTTTTACTTTTAATTTGTTTCATTTTATTTATTTTTTTTGCGATGTGTACTTTTACTCCTTATACTTGAAGTACATTTTTCCTGGTCATACTGTACTTAAATACTTTTACTTAATTCCCTTTTTGATAGTACTTTAACGTAATTTTACAGTGAAGTATCATTACTTTTACTTAAGTATTGGATCCGGAAACGTTCCCACCTCGGCCTTTCTATCAACTTTGCACATGATATGAAATGTTACACATTGCTGTCCGTCTCTGATCTCCAGAAAGACTTGATCGTCCTGGATGACGTCCACAGGGTGTTTGCGGTGGACGCCCTGACTTCCTCTCATCCTCTGTCCTCTAAAGAAGACAGTGTTATCCTGCCGGGCCAGATCTCTGAGCAGTTTGATACCATCTCATACAGCAAGGTACACACACACAGGCAACATATCTTTACATGAACTTTAAAACCTATCGTATCAGAAACAAGACATTATTGAGGGTATTTTGCCTCATAACTTATGAGGCGATATACCTCACCTCTAGTGAGGGGCCCTTTGTATGTTTTTCTATATGTGGACCTCAGTGAAATTGTGTTGGACTTCCCTGGCCTAAGATAACAGGAATGGGTTTTTTCAGTATTGTGATTAAATCAATTGAAACAAGTTACTGAAACAAATTCTGTTACTAAAACCAATACCAACACATATTAAGAAATAAAAACAACAATTGGCTACGTGAATAATGTATTTATTAGACCAAACTGAATTTAGGTTAATGGTGAAGTAACTAAACTAATATTGTAACTAAGTAATTGACACAAATTCAGTTTTTAAAACAATAACCAATAATGGTATTTGATGTCTTTGTACTGAGCTGAAAAGTTAAAATCTTGAACACTGACTTTGTCTCCTTTTTTCCAGCATTAAATGTGCCTCTCACTGAATAACCGGCCCCAGCACGGCCCCCCCAGTCAAATTGAAAGCTGGTGTAAGCTCATTGATTGACAGAGAGACTGACAGTGTGTCCTGTGTGTGTGTCCTATGTGTGTGTCCTCAGGGTGCAGCAGTGTTGAGGATGTTGTCTGATTTCCTCTCAGAGCCGGTCTTTGTCCAGGGACTCAGTGTATGCTCCTTTGTTTCTGTTTGCTTAAAAGCATCATACACACATTTTATGTCGTGATTAATTACTGTACATACAGATGTAGCGCATCATTTCAGACAGTTTGAAACGTGAGGGCCGTGATTGGCACGTGATCTGCCCTCGCTCAAGGGAAAACCTCCAGCTTGACTTGAGACCTCCCCCGTGATAAATAAATGTAATTATTATGAAGCCAGCTGCAATGGATCATTGATCCACCAGGGGGTGCAGTGGGGTTCCACACTGGAGCTCATGTGAAATAAAGTCAGATACAGTACGCTGGATGTACAGGGGAACTTTGTTAAGATCCATATGTCACGGATATCATACTCTGTGCTAAATAAGAGACATGTAATCATTTACAAAACATCACCGTGTTGTTATTTAACAAAATAATGTTGTTTAGTCGAAAAAAACGAACGGGAGGAAATGCAGCCCGGCTCTCGATTTTTAATCCTAATTTAATCATCATCTTCACCACGATCATTTATGTTTATGTTCGCCGAATTGACATGAAATCGTATATGAATATACTGTATTCAACTTCATTAAAACGTTATTAACGTGCCTAAACTCAGTAATTCACTAAAAATATTTATATTTTAATGGGGCCTCGTCGGCAGATCAGGATCCCAACGCGTAGCGGAGGGATCTTGATCTGCATGAAGGGTGTTATTTTCCCCATAAGAAACAAGTCGCTGCAAATTATCCCGCTTATTACATGGCCACATTCTCAACAAAGTAACGACATGACTCCCAATATTAATTGAAATGCTTTTATGGATTTAGAAAATGTTTTTATTGATATAAAAAATAGTTGTATGTATTGATTTAAATTGACATGCATCCGCTAAGAAAAATAGTCCGTTGTTACCGTTTTTTAAACAGTCTGAATGAAACGGCAGCTCTCAGCTGTGTATTTACACAGCTCTCTCCCCCCCCCCCCCCCCCTGATCTTTCTTCTCCAGCAGCTAAATTAACTGTAGGTTACTCTGAGTGACAAGCTTACAGTTAGACACAACACTGTCATTGCAAGTGACCCTCAGTTAGTTGACTTTTATGTTCAACTGCTAAAATCGTTACTGATAAAAAGGGCTTCTACTGTACCTAATTACCTTAACACTAGAACCGCCAGAGGTTTTTGTATAGGCCTACCTAACACCGTCAACTCCCGCTATTAGAATGCAATTTTTAACAACATAGGGTGCTACATAACACACTTTCAGGAAAAGTCACGGACTGGGAGACTTTAATATTTTATTGAAAAAAAGTTACATTGCACACACACAACACACATCACACAAATTGACCCGATTGGCGGTTCTAGTGTTAAATAAACTCACTGATGAATTAAACCAGTTCAATACGCATTATTCTTATTCTTATCATTCTTTATGAGCGCAGAAATAGTCTTAAAATCAGACCTGTTTTTTAAATGAAATCTGACGGCAGGCAGTTAGCTCTGATCACCTATGATAAATGCGCCACACCTAATCGCTGGCCATTCAGCCACACAGCTCCCTCTATACAAATCAAACTGTAGACGGTGTGAAAGCACCTATTGTTTTAAATAATGGTCGGAATGTGACCTGTGAGCCTTCTGAATTACCGTGGGACAGCACATTCTAAACTAAAATGTTCAATCAATAAAGTAACATCTTATCTTATCTTGTCTTAATAATATCTTCATATTAATAATAATAATAAATCATACAGTATGTGTCCGAAAGGGAGCAGGAGGAAGCAAACACAAAAATATACTGCATATTAAAGCAAACGATTGTAAAGGTAAAAGTATGAGCATATAAAGAAGTGTAATGTAAACATTTACATTATTATTTTTAATACAATTACAAATATTTATATTTTAATGGAGCCTCGTCGGCAGATCAGGATCCCAACGCGTAGCGGAGGGATCTTGATCTGGATGAAGGGTGTTATTTTCCCCATAAGGAACAAGTCGCTGCAAATTATCCCGCTTATTACATGGCCACATTCTCAACAAAGTAACGACATGACTCCCAATATTAATTAATTGAAACTCATTGCATACTCATAAACACACTAATATTGCCATATCTGATTTACTGTGTGGAGATCTGGGGAAACACGTACAAAACCAACCTACAGCCGTTATGCACATTACAAAAAAGGGCTATAAGAGTTATCAATAATGTTGGATATCTTGAACACACTAATGTATTATTTTTGAAGTCACACATATTGAAGTTAATTGATCTGGTTAAATTTAAAACGGCACAAATCATGTACAGAGCCAGACATAATCTACTTCCTAGGAAATTAAAAACATTGTTTGTAGACAGAGAGGGTGGGTATCATTTGAGAGGAAATCTACATTTGAAACAACTCAAGGTCAGAACAACTCTGAGAAGTATGAGTTTAACAATCTGTGGGGTGATTGTATGGAATGGTTTGGAGCAGGAGTTCAAACAAAGCACAAGCATCATTCAGTTTAAAAGGATGTACAGAAACACTTTTTTGGAAAAATATGAGAATGAAGAAAGGTGATTGAAGATGAGAAATTATTGTATATGTATGTATAAATGTAAAAATGTAGGAATAACTTGCATAATGATTTAAAGGACAATCATTGATCAAGTAAGGGGTGGGAATTAATAAGCATGTGCTTTCTCCTACTCTCTTTCGGACACATATTATTTATTATTATTATTAATATGAAGAAATGTTTTGTTTTTTTGTTGAATATACAAATATTACCATGAATGTGGATACATACTGTATTATAACAATACGGTATTCTGTTTTTCACATTTGTTATTTGTTATTTTTTAATCTGTTCGAAATAAAGACTGAAAGAAAGAAGAAATAAATGCTTTTATGGATTTAGAAAGTGTTTTTATTGATTTAAAAAATAGTTGTATGTATTGATTATTATTTAATATATAAAGACTTTATTTTAATATATTTAATATATAAAGACTATATATTATTGAATTACAAGATTAGATATACTTTAGTTGATCTAAAATATTGATGTGTTCAAATGCTGTTCGAAACACAACTGAAAGTCCATGAAACTTGTCTTTCTGTATTTGTGAATGAAGCGCCATCTCCTGGTTAAAACCTGAAATTTAAAATATGGCAAGGCCCTCTTGGAAAATAGTGGGATGGCTTAACATTCCTCGATACTGGTCTTAGGCAGGTCGTAGGCAGGAAGCTGTAAGCTGGAGTCTGAAATGAGGTGCTACATCTGTATTCACTAACAGGGAACAACTAACTGACAGGATGATTGTTTTTATTTTATATTCAGACATACCTCAAACAATTTTCCTACAGTAACACAGTGGGGAGTGACCTGTGGCACCACCTACAATTGGTAAGATTGCAGTTTTTATTTTATTTCCTGAAAATATATTCCTAAGTGTACATATTGTTAACTAAATCAAGCTGCAATTGCAAATTGTGGTGATTTATTTAAATATTTCTGAGCACTGGTTTAGGGAAGACATTAAGCTTTGGTTGTTTATATTTGAGTCTGACCACAGGTGTTAATGGAGTTTAGAAAGAAGAACACACATCCTTTATTCCTGCCTTCACATTCTCATGTCAAGTTAACGTTTATTTATAAAGCACTGGATCACAACAGAAGTTATCTCAAGAAACTTTTTGTGGAGAGCCTACACACCATACTCTTCCAATTCTGTATTGCTCTTTTAAATAATGCTGTATTTATTATAACTTCTGTAGTCACCAAAATCTTTCAGTAATATTGTGCATTTGTGCTGGGAGATGTTGATGTTGCTTGTGTTTCCACCCTTTTCAGGAAAATAGAGCCCAACTAGTTAATGGTATAATGTTCTGACAGTGTGTTGTATCTGACATTTATTTATTATATACACCTTCAACTAGAAACATGGTAGTGTTGAAAATGTATTATCATTTGTTAACCTGTTAAACCCCAAGGTCCCCGTCGTCGTGACACTGTGTCTCAGGGGATCTTAATATTTAAGAACCTATTAATGTGTTATACCAGATTAACGGGAATAATCTCAGCTAACTGACGATACAAACCATTTTTACCAAAACAAAACACAAGTCTCATAAGAAGCATATAAATGACCCCTTAGCGAAAAATGCTAACGGACATTGGCACAGAACTCAAGATAAAAGTACCCTTATTACTTATCGCAGCTACACATACAAGATATCCGATTAAAGCTGAGGTTCCACAGATTATTTAGCTATATAGTATCATCACTGAGTGATCCGAACTCGCGACAGGGGAAGCAAACACAGACATCACAACACGTACCTTTACGGAGCTTCTAGGGAGATCGTCTCACCGTAGCTGTCAATCTGATCATAAGACGTGTTCAATGGCATTAAAACGAGAAAAAATGCGGCTGAATCGATTAATCCATAGGTTTTTAACGTCTCTGTATAAAACAATTATTTCATTTATAATCCATAATTCCATTTTTATGTAAAAATCGCAGAGCAAACGTTAGCTGCTAATGGTAGCTACCATTAGCACCATGGCTGCTGCTTCCGGTCTTGGCAATGCAGCAGTCTATCACACACACATTACCAAATAAGGACTAGGTGGGAGTTCCCCTCGATTCCATTGGCTCTGACGGTCAGAAAGAGATGTCACATGTCAAAATCCAGCCAGGGGGGCCAGAGATATGGAAAATCCACCCAAATGGCCCCAAATTGGCTAAATCTGTCTAAAAAGGTCAAATATCACTTGTTTCGCATCAATCTTGATACAAGGTACTTATTATATGTTGTACTTTGGATTCCTAAAGCTTTTAGTCTACTAACCCATCATCCAAGTTTAATTTTCACTATAAGTACAAAATATTTGTTGGACGGACACTATAATTTACAGTTTTTTACCATGTTCAATCTGAATTTTCTTTAAAATAAAAAACATCTATATTTATTCTGACTTTTCTACATCCAACTCACAGGTTTATCATTACTTTGAGAAAAAAGATTATTAATTTAACCCTTTTAGAAGGGAAGATATGGTCATTTGTTCTGGGAATGTCATTTTCGAGCCTGAAACCTGAAAAACAGGCTCGGGGTTTAACAGAAGGATTACAACCACCAACCCACCATGTTTAAACTTGTTTTCTTGTCAAAATAACATAAATACAGATAGGTGCTTCCTGTCACTTTTGTCAACAGGCAGTGAGCGCCAATGATGTTCCACTTCCTCATCCAGTTTCTGACATCATGAACCGCTGGGTGCTGCAGATGGGCTTCCCTGTGGTTACCATAGATACTGTTACAGGAAAGGTATCCCAGAAGCACTTCCTGCTGGATCCAGAGTCTAACAACATGGTCCAATCACCTTACAAGTTTGTAACACTACACAATTTTACTGCAAACTATCTGCACAGAGTATCCTCCCTTAATAGTTGTATTCCCCCTCTTGAGTTACTTGAGTTATACATACAAACTCATTTTAAAAATCGTATTAGATTTGTATTGGTTCTACTGTGACATGTCTCCATGCTTTAATGTTCAAAAAGCTCTTTATTTTTCTCATACTGCCTGTGTTGCAGCACCTCTTTTCACCCTCTGTCTGAAACCAGAGCCCAGTCTGCTCTGATTGGTTCGCTGGCCGCCTCTGTTGTGATTGGTCAGCCGCTATGAAATGTCCCGCCCCATAGCCTATCAGGTGCAATGTGTTGGAGTGCAAGCCAATAGGAACTGTCATTATTTGTTGAACAACACATTTGTAACAGGTTTGTTAATTGACCAAAAAATATGAACAGTTGGAAGATTGAAAATGGGACTATTATTAGGATTATTTGTAGGTCATTGAAAAGTACAATCATTTAGAAAGATGTGAACATTGAAGTTTCTATTTTAGAAAAGCTGACACTGTAGTGCATCGCTGGTTTTACAAGTGATTTATAAGAGTCATGTTTAAAGACGTGCAATACTTAAAACATTTATAAAGATCCTCTGAGTGTGTGTCAGAGATGGGGACTCGAGTCTGTGACTCGGACTCGAGTCGCACTTAAGTCGCACACACAGAGACTTCAGACTTGACTTGGACTCCTGCTCAAAAGACTTCGGACTTGACTTGGACTCGTGTTTTGGGACTCGTGAACAATCATTGTGTTTTCTATTTTTCGCGTATTAAAGGTGGGGTAGGTAAGTTTGAGAAACCGGCTCGAGATCGCTAGAATTTGAAAATACACAACCGAAGAAAATCTGCCACTTCCTCACAGAGCCCCTCCTCCAACACACACGAACGCGCACATGACCAATGAGGGCACGAGATAAGTTTGTGCCCCGATGGAAGGCTGACAGGCAGGTAGGCCATCCAGTTACTTTAGCCGGGCCGGCTATCGGGATGTTAAGAGCATTCCATGGAATATAACAAAAAGTGTATCTCGAGCCGGTTTCTCAAACTTACCTACCCCACCTTTAACATTAACATCATGGTAACACCATGGCGACCGGCGGCACACCTGCAGCTGTACCGCTTGTAATTAGGTTCAACTATTAAAAACTTCGAACAAAACGCCGGCGGCACCAACAAAAGGAGCGCACACTGCAAAGTCTGCAATATTAAAATCAAGGATGCTGGTGCAACAACGTCAAATGTCATCAGGCACTTGAAAACTCACCCGGAGAGGTCAGTCACATTAACGCATATGGACGGTTAGCAAACATGTTTAGCTCAGCATCAGCTATGTAATGTTAACTTAGCTTGCTACTAGCTTTGTAACTGAATATTTGAAAAGATGAGTGAATGTTTGCTTGTCACACTTGTTTGCGTTGAGTGGCGTTGACATCCAACTCTTGACATGACATAAAAAAGGTCGGTAACGTTAATCATTACGTTCCGCTGCCACCATCTACTGGCTAACGTTAAACGTAGAAAAATACATAGTTACATACATAAATACATCTGTCGGTTTATAGGCAGGTTACAGGTTTATTGTTGACCACGTAACGTTAATGTTACAGGTTTATCAGGTTACCATTACACTGGGTTTGAGTGAGAGGATAGAGGAATATGTTTATTTATAGTAGACTTAAAAGATGTCATTAGAGACCCAGTGTAATTAAACAATACGGTTGCAGAGGTCACATTTTAACATGTTTGTCCACTGGCCAAATGGCTAGCCTAGTGAATGTTGAAATGTTACCAGCCACTCAATAGATTGCCATTGTTATTTGTGGCTGGTGCGTGCAACATACAGTACCAGCCACTTGCATGATTTACCAGCATTTGGCTGGTAAATGGTGTTAATGGTAGATATCTCTTTTGGAACAGGTCATGTTTTAATATCACCAGTTCAGTATATTTCAGATAATATTGCAGCAATAGTTTTTTAGTTGCAAATGGCACAGAACAAATGTTTACTTTGAAGTACTTTTAACACAGTTTCCCTGCGGGGGATTAATAAAGTATTTGTGATACTGATTTCTGATTCTGAAGTGTTTTGCTTATAAGTTGTTTGCATGTAGCTAAAGTGTGATGTTTTTCCTCATATTGCATTGCAATAGCCTGTTTAAAGTGATCATATAACAAACAACTAATCAGTACTGATACTGTATGCTAATAGATATAGGAGTGATAATAATACAGTAAATGCTTTGAATTTCTTAGATATAGCTGTGCAGTATTCTTAACAGACTGGATAGCAGCAGACAATAGAAGGCTTATTACAACCAGAAGAGACATGAGACTTTTATTTTTTAGAGACTTGAGACTTGACTTGGACTCGTGACCAAAGACTTGAGACTTTATCAAGTCTCACCCCACAAAGACTTGAGACTTGACTTGGACTCGTGACCAAAGACTTGAGACTTGACTTGGACTCGTGACCAAAGACTTGAGACTTGATCAAGTCTCACCCCACAAACACTTGAGACTTGACTTGGACTTGCAAAAAAAGACTTGTGAACATCTCTGGTGTGTGTCATTAGTTAGCTGATATAATGTTAGGGATAAATACCTTGACATATTGACTACAAGAGCTTGAATCAAACAAGCAACCTTGTATTTGAAAGATTAACTGACATAGCAACAGTCGCACCTGGTATATACGTAAGTGGTGTGGCTGAGTACTTTAAAGGGTTCATGAATAGAGGGGACTTGAATGTGAAATGAGAACAAGAACATAAAAGTCTAAATGCATGAAAAAGCAGCAGAATATTTGAACTGAACACTTTAGAACTAAAAGCATACGTCACCAATAATGTCTAAAATATGTGGAACATGTTGAAGTCAGTATGAAGTCTCCATCAGACGGAAAAGAATAGGCTGAGACAGTCTGTTAAACTCCAGTGACCACGTCATTAGTCTGCTGCTCTAATTATGTCAATTGGAGTGATGACATCATCGTGTTCCATGACACAGGTGTTTATATTTGAGCTAACGACGTGTCCAGAGATCAAAGGTTTCCATGGTGATCAGTGTTGTGCAACGACAGAAATGCTAGAGAGGTTCATTTTTATGTTTGTTTTGTCACTCACCATTTACCTCTCATTCCAGGCTTCTGATTGTCCACCCCTTGTGTGTCTCCTGTGCTCATCAGCGTCAGCCCCGCCCCTGATTGTTCCCACCTGCGTCTTATTATCATGTGCCTAAATTCCCCTATCTCCCAGTGTTCCTCGTCAGTTCGTATTGTCTCTTGCTATGGTCAGGTCTATGCTCCTTGTGCTCTTGAAAAAGTTTGATTCCTCACTACGTGAGCGTTTTTATTTTTTGTTCTCTATTTTTTGTCATCTCGGCTAGAGATTTGATAGTTACCTTTTTTGTTGTTCAATGCTGTATTTGTAAAATAAAGTATCTTACAAATACTTTACCTCTGTCTCCCGGGTCGTGAAATTGGGTCCTACATCCTAAGTGTCTGAGTTCGTAACAGAACGAACTGACCATTATGGACCCAGCCGACCCAAGAACGCTTCACGCCGCCCTGTCAGCACAAGACGTGAGGATTTATCACCATGAGGAACAGCTGGGCATAGCTGCCCAGGAAAGGAAAGAGCTGGAAGGACGCCAGGCATATTATCAAGAAAACATCTCTTCCCAGATGCAACAACTGGTTGCCCAAATGAATCATTTTTTCACTCACCAACAGACTGTTCTTCCGGTGACGTCATCCACAGCTGAGAGGTTGCCTGTCGATACTCCAGCTGACACAGTTTACCCAAATCAGGCTGTTTCTTCCCCTTTACGGCTGGCTCTTCCGGAGAGATTTTCCGGAGACTCCTCGAATTGCAGAGCCTTTCTGGTACAGTGCAATCTGCATTTTCAACACAACCCAGGAGCTTTTTCATCTGACCATGGTAAAGTGGCGTTTATCGTGTCTCACTTAACGGGAAGAGCTGCAGCCTGGGCTACTGCAGAATGGTCTAGAGAAACCGAACTATGTTACTCATTGGCCGGTTTCATAGAGACTATTAGTCGCATTTTTGACCACTCATCGCCTGCTACAGAGGCCAGCAGAAGACTGTTTCAAATACGTCAGCTCAACCGTAAGGTGTTTAATTATGCCATCGAGTTTCGTACAGCAGCAGCGGACAGCGGATGGAATGTTCCGGCTCTTCGTGACGCCTTCATGGCGGGACTTTCGGAACCGATAAAGGACCAGCTGGCTCCATTGGAGACACCCCGGGATCTGGAATCCCTCATCACTGTGGCCATCCGGATCGATAACCGTCTTCGGGAAAGAGAAAGGGAGCGTCGACGCAACAGAGATGTTGTTCCCAGCTTCCAGGATTCGTCTCGGAGGGTCGCACCGCCAGCTGAGGATTTCCAGCCCATGTTATCGGACCGTCGGAGGACTACACTTCCGAATGACTCCGGTGAACCCATCAAGCTGGGAAGAACCAGGCTTTCTCTGGAGTAGAGGCAGCACCGTAGACGCGAGGGTTGCTGTTTCTACTGCGGCCAGCTGGATCATCAACTCGCTTCATGCCCGGGAAAAGATTGAGCTCACCAGTCAAAAGGAGGGCGCTGGTGAGCAAGTTTCCCGTATACTTCCCTCCTCGACCTGTTACTCAGGTAAACATTTTTATTAACAATCAGGCCATTGACCAGGGTGTGTTAATAGACTCAGGGGCTGACGAAAGCCTTATGGACTGGGGCATAGTCAATCAGCTAGACATAAAGACTGGTCTGCTATCTCAGCCTGTTAATGCCAGTGCCTTAGACGGCCGCTTGTTGTTCACAGTTACCCATTGCACTGAGCCCATTCAGATTACTGTGAATAAGGACCATACAGAGAACATGCAATTTCATATTTTCGAGTCGGCTCAGCACCCGATTATTTTGGAGTTTCCATGGCTGAAGACCCACAATCCTCACATTGACTGGCGTTCAGGGAGA